ACAACTGTTTCATCATAGTTTATGACTTTTCATGTTATATGCTTAACATGACTTCTTTAGTCTGATTATCCACATTTTCAACGTCAGTTAATTAGTAATATGTATATACTTCATTTTGTAGTCTCCTTAAAAGTTATAGTCAAATAAATTTCTCGTTATTTTATTTCAATGATCTGTCACAGTCATAAAGTTGTACTATGATAAAAGAATAAAAGTACTTCTCATGAAGTAAAATCACAGTTATTAAAAATATCATCAGTTCTCAAAAGTGATCATTTTGACTGTTTATTAAATCTAAAAAAACACATCCTTTTGGTATCCTATTGAACAAGAAAACATAAAGAATCAATTTAATAACTGTTATAAGTTCATCTGCTCACTCCTAATTTGTTCTACACTTATCATCCTACATTTCTCATAAAATAACAGTATCCCACTCAATAATAGTGATTATTATTTACATTTTTTGTCAAGTATTTAATTACAGGTTAACCAACTTTTCCCATTGAGTTTTGAATCAATAGCTGATTAGTTCCTTAGTCCATTTTAGACCATATAACGTTGATTTTCAACGTATTTACGAATTAAAGTTTATATTGCTTATTTAATTCATACTGATACTGGTCAGTTATGGAATACAGTGACCTTGAGTGCTGTTAGAGGTATGAGGGCGGTTATCACTTCTCGGTTGTTCACACCATGGAAGGGTTCTTCTGGAGGTAGAGGTGGTCTTAGTGACCTGATAGGGTGACCGTAGTGCCCAAGGGACAATTGCTTGAGGCTGGACACACGCGAACATTTTGTAAGTAATTTTCGTGTTAGTGCCGTAAACGAAAACCCATGGAATAAGGCAAGATGTGCATTTTTAGGGTCAACCTTTTCTAACTCCACCCCTCCTTGTTGGAAGACAGCATCGCTATTATGCTGGTTGTCTGAAGGAAGTACCTTGTTGCAGTGACACAGCTCTACAATCAACAGTACGACTTCACCATCGGATCTTTGGTTTGCTGGTTTTATTCTTACCGCCTTCAATCGACCTGTCTGGCATGGTAGAACCTTGAGGAACGATTGTTCCATCCAGTATAGTTCGATCTTTTTATTATGATAGTTAATCCCGATCACCACGTCAAGGTGGCAGCAACAGTTGTGATTGATACTGGTACAACTGTGAAGCACAATAAGTATACACCACCCAACTAACGATGAATAGAAATAAATGAACAAAACTCATCTATAGCAAGTGATAAAATTCAGCAAAAAAAAATAAAAAAAGATACAATCAGGAAGGTTTATTTCAGTTAAGAAAAAAAGAATGTCGAAGAAAAAACCTACTATTACTCTTCGATTCATACAAATTAATAACGTTTAACTGATTTTTATTTTTTGATTCCAAAACGAATCATCCATCAATTCTAGAACAGTTTCATTCATAAGTTTTATAGAAAATTTTTTTTATTTTTCAGTTTTTAATTTGTCTAAAATTATTTTCCTTAAAAATACCAATAATTAAACATTATTATTATTATCACTATTATTGATATTAAGGTTATATCTGGATTCTTTTGTAAAATTATTATTATGATTGTGATTAGTCCAAAAAAATTTTAGCATATTACATTGGAATAACAGAATAAAGATTAGTAGGTATAGAAGATGAAAACAAAAAGAATTTTTTACTCAGAATGTAAATAAGTAGTCATATACATGTTTGTATGTTAATGTATAGGGATTTAGAAGTTATATATGTATAGATATATATACATAGAATGTGATTGCATGCATAAAATGTCTTTCAAAAGCATCAGGTGTGCAGGTGATAAAACAATCTCTTTTTATAAGATAAAATAACACGAAAAATAAAAGGAATATTCATGTATTATCATGTTTAAACTAATGAAAATAAGGTTAAAAAACAATAAAAAAAAGAACAAGAACAAGAAACTCCCAATCATGAAAAAAATAGTTTTATTAACAATCATAAGAATAATATGCGACAAAGAGAAAGCATGGAATTGTTTATAGATATATGTGTATAGGAAAAAAAGAGGGATGAATTGATGATGATGATGTTGATGACGATGGTGATGAGCATGAGGTGGAACAACTGAATAGGAGTAAAAAAATATGTATACAAACAGTAGATAACTAAACATAAAGTTAAAATGGATAAATTCACTAAAATCAGTAAATAAATAAATAGGTAGGTTTGTCATTGTGTTGCTTTTGATTGGTTTACTATAAGAAAAACTACAGAAAAAAAAGATTGAATAAATAAAATAAATTTTTACAAATAATGGAAAATCTAATATAAAAATTAAGCTTTTGTTTGTTCATAATATGTTGACATACCAAACTTTCATTTTTATTTATTTTAGAAGGAATCAATTTTAGCTCTTTTTTCCCCATTAAAACAATAATGATTAATAATAAAATTTAATAAATAAGTTTGCTTATAGATGCCCATAGCATAAAAATTTGTGATCGTATAGTGAATAAGAAAACAAATGGGGACAATCGATAGTAGTTGAACATAAAATTACAGAATATTTTAGTGAAATCTGAGAATCATACAGTAAATACTTCATTTGCAAAAAGTTAATCGATCGTCTCAAACTTTATTGTTTTTTCGTTTCCACACTAATCATTCCCTGTTCTCATTTTCTTTTCTTTGATCTTCTTAACCTTATGCTACTAGACATTTTACTTTCGATTGGTGATACATACTACCTATATTTATCGACTTCAGTAGCACACACCACAATAGTACTTGGTTTGCAAAGTCATAATAAATTATCATTTGATATTGAGATTTACAACTTTCAAGTTTATTGTTATAATTAATACTGACATCTTAACATAATCATTGGTATTTAGTTTTTCTTTTGTATTTGGTAATCATCTTTTTCCTTATAAGATTACTATGTATTTTAGCTCAAAAGTCACATTTGACCTTTAAGTTTACTACAGGTTTAAACTACGTGAAAGTTGAAGAACTTTTAATGTCGAAATATAAATTACAAGGCATATTTTATTATACTCACTATTAAGTTAATATTATCCCTAAACAAGAGTCTTTGGTGAAAATAGCTTGTATGCTCATATAACACTGATGATGAAATCATTGATCCTAACTCGTAAGTTAGCAATATAATACAGATGCATTTAAATATAACAGACTCTATAAGCACGTTATTATAAAAGAAAAGAAATTACTAAGGCCCTTTCAGAATAGGAGAAATATGGGTGTAAACCATTTATCTGATTTTTTTGTCGTTGAAAATACATCTACATTTTGTGAGATATCATGAGTTAGTCTGCTACATAAACAGTAAAGAAAAATATTCCATGATAATTTTCGAATTGATATTTTTCAAGATTCAAAGAAAATCACTTTGATTCAAAATTAATTTAGACATTTATACAAAACCATGCAGAATATTGTATGATTAATTTTATAGAATTGTATATAGTTGATTCTAGGTATTAGATGATTTTAGATTGATATCATGAATAGATCAATGTTAAACCGCCATTAAAAACTTGGATTCACTGAACGGCCATTTTGTCCTAGAATTGGACTCCTGAGCAATGCACATACACAATCTCACGCGTGGGACTCGAATCCAGAACCTTCAGTCTCATGTGCGAACGCTTAACTTCTAGATGATTTTAATTGATTTTACTTAGTGAAGGTTAAAATATTTTAACAAGTTCATATTTAAGATTATTTACTATTTGTAAATCGAACATTTCATAAAAAATATACAAAAATGATATTAAAGTATTCATCATCCTTGTGTCACAGCTTCTCTAATTCAAGTTGATTACGTAATTCAAACGAAAAAGAACATATTTAAGCATAGATCAGATAAACAAACAAAAGAATACATATTTTTATTGTATATTTTAAAATGTTTATTTTTACAACTGTATACCAGTAACTTGAACATAAACAACTGAATGAATTGTTAGACATGACTTATCAGTTGATCAAATTTCCTAAAATGTTATAATGAATAAAACAATTAAAAGTCAAATGAACTGTTTTTATAAGGTTACTATTACAGTAACCAAGTTTTGTCGTTATTACAATCAAGGTGAATGTCAGCCATTAGGATATAAAGAAGTCCGTGATATATATATATATATATATATATATATATATATATATATATATATATATATATATATATATATATATATAAAGTGCGATTAAATTATCTTTAAGGAGTAAAAATTACCATTGTTGATATTTATGCTAGAAACGTAGAAACTATGTATGAGCTTGCTATTAAACTTCATTGAATTTATTGATTGGATAATGTATTAGAATAGTGAAATGTATTATTTTAATTCGAGATACATATAAAACACAACACAACATGAAATAACTGACCTAAAAGTTTCAAATCAAGTAATAATCATATGATCAAAAGAATGAAAGATTCTGTAAGACTCGTATTTCAATCACCCTATCAAGAAGGTCTATAATTTCTTTTATCGTTCAAGTAACTAGTTAAATTACTTTACCATATGATATCAAGGTTTTTTTAAAATATATTAGCTTCGTTTATCAACGTTTTTCATCCAGTCAAATGACCTCTGTGATTAAACGATTTGACATAATAAACAACATATACATGTAATCAAGGATGAATTTTACATGTATTAGGACCTTTCCAGTTGAACAACTAGTTGCCAAGGTACACTAAAAACAAATAAACTCGAAGAGCCGTCAATAGCAAAACAAAATTTCAGGATTCTTTCATCGTGGCTACAATCTCAGTGGAACCATATATGTATGAGATTTTTGTTATGCAGCAATAATTGTTCCAAAAAGATTCAAGATTCAAAGAACAGGCTTTATAATATTCAATACTATCGCTTACGTTGTTTTAGTCAATCTACACTAATAATGAGATCATTCTTCTAATTAATTAAATTATTAGTTCTATTATCAAATTTCTGACGGTAGTTTCTTTCATCACTTTACATTTTAGGAAGTGGTAGACAAGAATTTCAAGACCATTTATTATCGCATTATGATTATAAATGTTTAAAATGTGATTATACTTCACGTACAGAAGGTCGTTTAAAACGCCATATGAAAGATTTTCATTCCGATGTACCACCGGAAAATTTCTCTGGTAAAACAATCAGATCTATACGTTCAAAATTGCAACGATGCAAACAATGTGATTTTGTGACTGATACAAAGGTAAATTTTATATGAAATTTTACTAATAGTTATTCGTTATGTGCGATTGTTTATCATATAAAATATTCTAAAGTCACAATATCTCTAATGAGATTTTGTGTTACTTTACTGAAGATGATGATGTGAAGTTACTATAAAATAATTTTACCCAGAAGTATTCACATAGTGATGCAAACTAATAACATGTTTTATACGTGGATGGAAGACTTTTAAATGTAAAAGATCATTCATCTATGAAACGATGAACAATTTGTTCTGTCTTCAAAAAAGGTTATGTAGATTATGTTTATTTGATCAGTTTGATAATAATACAGGAAGGTTAAGGAACTACAGGACAAGCAAACTTGGGTCAACAAATGGTTAGTTTATTTGATCATTTTAGATAATACAATTAGAAGACGAATTTTATGGTTCATGTAAACTTCATTTTCTTATTGCACTATCTGAACTTAACAAATTTTGCTTTCTTTTTGAGGTTAAAACTCATATGTTATTGTGTTTTTAAATGCCATCCCTGCCATTTTGTCTTACTGTGAAGTCTTATAATTGAAATACTTCTTACTAAAAGTCTTTTTGACTATAGTATCTTTCACTTATTTGATTATTAAAGATGACTTACATAAGGATGATTACTGGATATTGTTTAAACCCATTAGATGTTCAAATCTATTTTCAGTTTTATTTTTCATTTATTAATGTACATATTCAGTGAATTATTTTATTCACGGCACATATCAATCACTGAACAATGTGGATTAATTATCAAAAGCTCCATTATTTCATATAAATGCCATAGTTTTTCTGGCATGTTTTAATATCTTTATTTTAATTCAGATCAGTTTGAAACGATATATTCTTCAGGTTTTCTTTTTATTGTGATTTCCCAGTTGACATTAGTTTGTGATAAGAATAGGATTCGATAGATTCGTATTTATGTCGATGATGAAGACATGGTCGTAAATAAGATTTAGGAAATTAGTGATGATCAATACAGCTTGAGATTTTTGTCAGTGAAGATCCAGATACAAACATCTCAATGATAAATACTCCTTAACTCTAAAAATGATTCTACATAATGAGTTAATTCGTGTCTTAAACACTCATTCGAATATTGAAACGATAAGTATGTTAGGTTTAAAATTTGTCATCTGGTTCTTACTTGTAACGGATGTCGGACCAAACAAAACTCAAACTCCACCCTCTCCCTTGCTCGTGATTATTTAATGAATATTAGTTATGTTTGAGGAATCTAAACTGATGAGTTGCATGAATTCTCAAGTCCAAAAATAAAATATGTTTGATCAATGAAATACTAGACAGGTTATAGGTAAGCCGTAACAAAGAAAAATGAAGTACGCATAAACAATGTGATAACCACTCTGTATAATAAATCAATATTACCAGGGTAGATTAAGGATAAGAACAAATTGTTTATGAACACATAAAAGCGGTTTCAGTTTTCATATAGTCAAGGTTTCAATAAACCTTGGTATACGTCATTGAAGGTTTTTGTACAACACTACAAACGCTGACTTGATATTAACCTCATGACCAATCTCAACCAAATGTTTCGCAATGTACGAAGATGTCTGTATATCCTGTGATCTTATTTGACCATTGGAATTCATATTATTATTACCTTGACAATAAATTTTAAAATGCTCATGATCTAAGAAAAACATATTTTATAAAAGAATTCTATATCTGTAGTTCTTCAAGATATCAGTATAGTATTCAGCTATTTTATGTAGATTTAAATGAAATTATGTAAAACTGACGAAATGGAATTAGAAAATAATTCATGTTACTTATCTATAATAAACTAAAAGACAAGTCACTAAAAAAATAGAAGAAAAAGTTTTCAACATAAGTGCATAGCTACCAATATCAATCAAATAGTAGTTAAAATTGTTGTTTTCATGGACGACAATTCTTAAAATGTCTATTTGTCACATACTACTTGATTTTTAATAGATAAAAGCAGCTTGTTGCAAATTAACTAACTGAATAATTTAAACAAATCCAATCATTTTAATACTGTAAATGTTGATTTCAGATTGCAAACTTTTCGAGAATAAACACTTGTGTAGTTAATAGTCAGTACACATCACCAATTTTTTAATTAAAACTTTTGTCACACTAGTATTCTTTTACATTTATGTTAGCTGAAATATCGAGAAATCAAACTACTTAAGTTAATTTTCATGTATATAAGCTGAGAGATCAGCTCATTTATATTAGTAACCTCTAAACCAGATTAATAGTGCTTTATCAATTGAGGTACGAGATCAAAAATGAAAATAATGTTCACACTCCCTTTAAACTGTCATATAATGGGATAGAATATTATCATAATAATGTCCAAATTTATTGGAAATTGATGAAAATTTTGCCAATTGAATTTACATCAATACAATCTAGATAGGTAGACAAGCATATGAATCAGAGTCAGATAAACTGAACTATAGAAACACAAACGGATTGTTAAATAGATAAACTCATATCAAACGAATGGTAATTACGTTATATGAATATCCTTTCTGCGATGCGAAATCATTATAAACATATATGAATGACAAAATAAAATGAAGTTAAAGATATTTACCGATGGAACTTTATTTTCAACATTGTAGGCAGGTCTTTTAGCATAGTCTACAACAACAAATCTCTTAGAACTATTTTTAAAAACTATCGTTGAATCGTAGGCATTCGTATATTTAATACATTTTGCAATACTTTGATACTGAGTTTATGAAATTTTATCGACTGTCGTTCAGGAACAGATTTTTGTTCTCTTGCTTTGATAGGATGAATTTTGGCGCCATTTACGTATCCATATTAAAGAAGATAAACGGTTAGAATGTCATTTGTGCTGTTTTATAACAGAATATAAACATCATTTAGAATATCATATGCGTAATCATATGGGATCTAAACCTTACAAATGTCCAAAGTGTAATTATGAATGTGTCAATAAGTCAATGTTAAATAGTCATATGAAATCTCATTCAAATGTTTATCCATATCGTTGTGCAAATTGTCATTATGCTACAAAATATTGTCATAGTTTAAAATTACACCTTACAAAGCATGAACATAAGCCAGCTGTAGTTTTGAATTCTGATGGAAGTCTACCACCCTATGATAATACAGTAGAATTAATTAATGTGAAACGTGGACCGAATATTCGACACGGTAATTCAAAATCACACTGCAGACGTCGTAATTCATCAGAATCAACAAAAAATAGAATGAAAGGGTCGTCAACATTAAAATGTATCAATGAAAAAGCTACACATATTAGTACAACATCTAAATGTTCAACAAGTGAAAATACAACTCCAAATAAAGAATATCAAAATCAAACTACGGAAAATGCAAATTCCATGAATATACCCATAAACGTAAATTGTAATTCATCATTTAATACAAGCCAGTCAATGTCTGGATTCCAAACATTCGTAACGACAGAATCAAATAACATTTCATTTTCAAATTCAACTTTAAGTACACCTATATTATTCCCATCTTTTACTAGTGCAAATAATATTCCAGTAAAGTTTATGGACACAGTTAATTCGATAACATCAGACTCAATACCAATTACTAGTTCTCTTAGTGATTCATTAATTACTAATAGTAATACAATTATGAATTCTTATTCAATTCCAACAGGTTGTAATTCAAATGAAACAGAAGAACAATATGTAACTGTAACTTCTGATCCATTTTTAAATTATTCCGTTTCTGCATATTCATCAATGGTAGCTTTTATGGCTGCAATGCAATGTGGTGATTTTAGCCGAGCTCATTTAATTTCATCTAATTCAACAAATTTAACCGAATTAACTGATTTAAATTTTACATCATCTAATTCTCTTTGTACCACAGATATTTCTAATACAATATCATCCGTTGAATTTTGTAAAAATCAAGCATTAACTTCTATAACATCATCAAATTGTAGTAAATATATACAACCAAATGAATTAAATAATACTATTTCAAAAATTTCGGAAATAAATTATCCAATAATTCATTCATCTAATATAAATACAAATACAAAAATTACTCATTCAATAAATGAATTAAATCATTCATCAATTTGTTCATCATCTATTACCCCTAATATTTTTACTACATCCAATAAAGATCAATTTCTTCAAGAAAAAAAAATTCTACTTCAAGAATCAACGGAAATCATTGAAACTAATGAAATATCATGTAAGAACTTAGAAAAAACTAAGATTATCATGTCAAATAAAACTGTATGTAATGATATTGAATCAGCTTTAGATTTATCCTCTGGATCATGTAATAAACAAAATATAAACTGTGATAAATTTCATAAACCAATTGAATATGATTTAAAATTAAACAATTCTGAAGATAATGAACAAAATTTTCAAATTATTAAACACAAAAAAAAAAATGAAAAATCTCACGTAAAAGAGTTACAAACTATTAAGTCATCAATCATATCATCATCATCATCATCAACAACAACAACAACAACAACAATAACAACCTTAATGGATAATACTTTGAATAATAATAATAATAATAATAATAATAATAATAATAATAATAAAGATTCATCAGATTTCACTCATGAATGTCGATTTTGTGAAATACGCTTTCGTCAACGTACTCTATATGATATACATATGGGATTTCATAGTCATTCTGATCCTTATTTATGCAATCGTTGTGGTCATCAAAGTAATGATTCTGTTGAATTCTTTACTCATCTTGGAGAAGAAGCACATTATTCATAGAAATATTTTACAAATAGATCATTCATTACTCATAAATACATATACATACAGTTTACTTCTTTTTTTATAACTAATTTGGTTTCATTGTATTATTGAAAAGTATGTTTTCGTTTTTTTCAAAATTATGTACAGTTCTTGATTCTGTAAGCATTTTTTCTTTCGAATTTCATAAACACATCAGTACACATTGTTTCCTTTTTCTTTCTAGTTCATTCAGTTATCTATTGACAATTATAAATAAGCGCATAAAAACACCTAACCTTCAATTTATGAATCAAAATAATTCAAGACAATTAATTATTATTTATGAACAGTGATAGAATAAAACAGTTGAAAATTGACAAGAAAAAAAAGTAGAACAGTTTTATGCTGGTTAATTGTTCATCTTATCGTTTTTTTCTTTCAATACGTAATCTTCTTTTTAATAATAATTTTGTTCTCATTTCACCTATCAACATTTGATTAAGTTCGTCGTAAACAAACCATTCAACAATGGAGAAATTTATCAATTCTGTATAATGGTTAAACAAATCGAATATCTTCTGGATATATATATATATATATATATATATATATATATATATATATATATATATATAGGATATTGTATAGATTTTTGCAGTGTTGAAAATAAACATCGCTATTAATCAAAAGTCTTTTCTACTATGAATCATTGTTTAAGTTAGTTAAAAGAATAAGATGATTTCATATATATGAAGTATTATAATACTTTTAAGCTACAAAGTATTTTTGCACGATGAATCAATATTGCAAGAATTGAAGGTAAAAAATGTAAAGAGGAAATCAATGTCAAATAGGATAAATTACAAGCTGTAGGGTTACCTTGCAATTTTTTAAAGTTTTATTAGTTTTAGAAGTAAAGAATTAAGTAACAGATTTTATGAATTATTTACTTTCAATGTGGTTGTTAAGATGGACTTAAATTAAACAATCATTATGAACTTAAAAATTCAACTAAAATCTATTCAAACATTTTTTTAACTTACTACTTTTAAATGTCCTAACCACTCCTTTAAAATTCAAATCTTAATGGCTGATTCACGAGGTACGAACCATAAAAATACTCATTCATTCCATTTTATTTTATCATTTGACAAAGCTACAGATATACTTCTTGGTTATATGTAAAATATTGAGTTTTCTTGTTGACATTAAAGACTGTAACTTATCAGTTTCTAATGGAATATAATTTAGTACAAAGATGTTCCATCTTTCTATGATATAGCTCTTGAGACATTATATACAAGAAACATTAAATAAATAATGATCAGAATGGATAGGAGTGTTAGTAAAAATTAATAGAATTTTTTAAAACTTCTGAATCATTAAATATTCTATTCAATTGATTTAAGCGTGCTCACGATCATCCTTAACTAAATTTTCAATGATGAATCTAATTCTTTTCTATATTGGTCGTGAATGGCAGACTAATTAGAGAGTTTGTCTATTCTACCAAATTTTTTTTTAAAATCTTATTTATTTATGTTTACTCCCATTCTTGAACATTAGAGAATTCATGTTTTATAGATAAGGGTTTTAAATCTATAAAAATAAATGTTTCTGTGGTAGAAAATAAAGTTCGGTAAAATAGTTCGCATGGGTTGGAGAATGCTGATAGGCGGCCTGTGCTCCATTGGGAGTAACAGGCGTAACAACAAACAACAAAATAGTTCGCATTTTTAGTTCTCATTAGGATTACAAACTTATTTGTGATATTGCATTGCCACTGATTAAACAACTAGAATAATGCAGTCTTGTAAGTTTCAAACTAGTGCAGTGGAGGTACTCATTTCTGGGTGATACATTATGGTCCCTATATTTTAATAGTTCACTGTAAAGTTACAGATTAGTTTATTGATAGTGATGAGTGATTTAAGTGATTTTCGCTGATTATTAAAACTCATAATCAGTGTATATAATGAACAACTAAGTTATTTGAGGTAAAGTTCAAACTTTCATTAATGTTCACTTTTACACATTTATGAAATATACAATTGATAAATGAGATTGAGTATTTTCACTACGTTACTAACCAAGAAATATACACTTAATTACTAACTGTAAAATAGTTAAAATGGCTGTTGATTAAGTTTAAAATTTGTTTTGAAAAACACTACAGTGACTCATTTTAAAACCACAGACTATTGTAGAGTTATCCATTCACTGATGGATTCACGTGAACTCATCCCATCAGGCTCTGAACACGATGAGGAGCGAAAACAAATCAGATTCAGGTTAACCAAAAGTTCAAGGAACGACCTTGAGCAGTGGTGAGAAACGAAAGCAAAAGAGATGGAAAAGGCGGCGACTGTAATAACACAATACAACTCTGAAGACTAATAAAAGAAACTGGAATTATTAAGTCAAGTGTAAGTGAGACTCTCGGAAAAAGACGACAATCTTATCTATTCCCAGTCCAGACGGATAGAACCATGGGTGGAGCATCTTAAGGAGCAGTTCAGCTGACTTTCAGCTAGTCTACAACTATCCTCCATTCCCAGACAGTGTGAATGGAACATTGAAGTAGGTCCCCCGAATCTAGCTGAAGTTCAAAAGGTTATTGTAAATCTGAAACGAGGAAGAGCAGTTGGTCCAGATGGATTGACTCCAGAGGTCTTTAAGGATGGTGGTCCAATTTTAGTGATTCGGTTGACGAATATTTTAGCTGAGATATGGAAGTTGCACGTAATCCCATCTGACTGGTCACAATCACTGATTGTCACAATATGTAAGAAAGGGTCAAAATCATCCTGAGACAACTATAGATGGATTAGTTTGATTAATATGGCATCCAAAATACTAGCCTAAATAATCATCGGTCGCCCAACAAGCACTCGTGAACTGCAAACATGAGAAAACCAGGCTGGCTTCAGACCTGGTCATGGCTGCATCGACCACATATTCACCGTGCGTCAGGTTCTGGAACACAAAAATGCTTATCGGCGTCCGACAATAGTGGTCTTTCTTGAATTAAAAGCAGCATTTCACTCAGTAGACCGCGAGATTCTGTGGCAATGTCTGTCATTGAAGGGTGTACCTCAGAAGTGTATCAACCTTATGAAGGCTCTTCACTCGAACACCACTGATCGAGTCAGAGCTTACGGCGAACTGTCATCTGATTTTGCAACCTCAAGTAGTGTCTGTCAAGACTGTCCACTTTCTCTATTTTTGTTTAACTTCATATACCTACTGATGGGAATAACGCTCTTATTGACTGGATTTTCGGGCATTGATCTCCCACCAGGAGGTCTACTTATCAACTTAGAATACACAGATGATATAGTCCTGTCTGGTGAAGACGCTGATAAAATCTGACATCTGTCTTTGATGGCATCAACTTCTGATCTGAACCGTGTCGGTAGATGCAGACTACTTGGTTGGCGTCTGAGAGACTATCGTTACCAATGCTGGGAAACTCTGGGTGACATGGCTCAGAATCGATCACAATAGTGTGGGTGTACACACTCTTTATATTCCCTTGAATTGTGAGGTTGAAACTGCTCTATATCTTTCTTTGTACGAACTAATTCTTCCTCCTTGTATTATATCTTTATATGCGATCTTTCTTTTATATGTTACTACCATAGATTTGACTACTACGAGTTTGGTGTTCATCTTGTTGTGCTGATGAGGTATGACAACTTGGACCAATGCACATATGTGCCTGGTCCTACGTTTTAGTGGACTGTCTGATCTTTGATTTTGGACATTTTGATTTATCTTTGTCTTTGGTTAGTTACTTGAACGTTCTTGTACCGGGAACTTGAAAAATTGAAGTTTTGTTTTGCAATTGTTATAATTATTATTGGGATGATATTTCGGTTAGCTATTTTTAACATGCTTATAAACTTTTATTCTTTTATTATTTTTGGGTTCGTACGTTACAAGTAGATCGATATTCCGTGCTCCGATAACGGAGGCTACCAAAAATGTGGATGTATCACTATTAACAGATGCTTGGTAAGCCCTCTGATCTGTACCATGCGCGAACAAAATTACCATGCGTGACTGGAAATGTTAACACTACGGGATAACCTGTATCTTTATAAGCTCACCGACTGGTTCCCGAAGAGTTAAGATTGGCCAGAAAGAAAAAAATGTACCCCATGATAAACTTATGAATTATTTCGCCATCAAATAGCTCATGGTCATCTTCTTTGCATATGGCTCCTAAAAAGGATAGCAATGATTGGCGTCCAACTGGTGACTATCTGCGACTTAATACGAAAACGACTCCTGATCATTACTGGTTGCTTCACATTCACTCTTTGACAGCCACCTTAAAATGCACAAATATTTTTCTCGAAACTTGGCTTGATTAAAGCGTATTACCCTATTCCCATAAGACATTCCTAAAACTGTTGTCATTTCTCCTTCCGGTCTCTACTAGTTTTGTGCATGCCTTTCGGCCTAAGAAATCCTGCAAAAACTTTGTAGCGGCTCAGAAACGGTGCCCTTTGAGGTCTCGACTTCGTACACGCATATGTAGATGACTTTTTGATCGTAGGTCCGGACAGAGGACCTCACCTCCGGCATTTGAACATTGTCTTTGAACGACTGTAAAACACGGCATTACTGTAAACATGTCAGATTGAAACAGACCTCCTGCCATCCACATGCAAACGGGTTGGTAGGACGATTTCGTAGACAGTTGAAAGTTTCACAGTGGACTGATGCTTTTCCATTCGTTTCACTTGTTATCCGCAATGTAGTGAAAGCTGAAGTTATATACACTACAGCAAAACCCTTTTGTGGAACGACACTCTAACGTCCAGGAGAGTTCATGGATATTTCATCTTCTTTGGTGAATGCGTATCTAAAATCTTACACAAGCAGGCTAACAAACGCGACGGGTTCAGTTAAAACTTTCTATTCGTCCAACCTGCCTCACGATACAGTACACGTCCTTGAGCGTCGAGACTCGTTACGGTGACTTCTCGAATTGACATATGGAGGATCTTTCAAAGTCCTTCAGCGTTGACTCAAGTGCTAGATCATCTATGAGAAGGGAACTAACCATAACATCTTCATCGATCGTCTTAAAGTCACGTACTTGGAAGGAGACCCGAATAATGCTGATTTTCCTCCAGTACAATCAAACGATACAAACTCCACAATTACGATGCCACACCCGAGAATCAGGGCTCACAAAAAAACTTCAGCGGTATTTGATAAACGGCATAAAACATCGCGTTCTGGAAGAAGTGAACGGCTTCGAGAACATTTGAATATTTACTGCACTTAGGACATAATATAAGATTTTGCTTCGTCTCGATTTAATTTGTATTTTTATGTCAAAATCCTAAAACCAAACTTTTTGTTACTATTACGCCCATATATGTGTTTATATTTGTTTTTTTCCAAAAAAATCCAAAGGATCGTTTTGCAAAAAACGTTTCTATGCAGTTGAATTTTATCAGTATGTGTGTATGCAGTTTCGTTTTTCTATTCCTCTATTTTGTGTCCCTACACACGTACGAGCGCATTTCGACATGCATTTGCAACTTCTTTTTCAGGACGACTGGAAACGATATAAGTCGACGGAAAA